AAAGTTGAATCACCAAATCTTTTAGTTTTTTTATTGTGATGAAGCAAAAGAAAACACACCAGAGAAGAACATATAAAAATAATAAAAGAAATTCAACAAAACTTCTGTGATATTGAATTTTTTTTCGTGAGGAACACTATTTGAATTCACAGTAAAAAAAGTAAAAACACTTAGAATTTATAGTGTTTTCTTGAGTTTTTTAGTTTTTCTTTTATTATTCATATGGCCTGTACTTTGCTGCTAGTTAATATTTTTATATTTTATTAAAAATTATTTATTTAGATTTTTTAATGTATTTTGGTAATTGAAAAATATAACAAATTAAAATTATATTTTTATGATAATCATAGTTATCTAACCTAGTCTAGAAATTGACCCGGCTATAGGACGGGGTCTTACGTTGAACAGGTTAAATCGGGTCAAACAAGAAAAATTTAAAAAAAATTGAGATTTTAATATTATATATGAAAAAATAAAGAAATAATTCATGTGAATATATATTATACAACATATGTTGTGAATAATTAAGTTCAAATTTTTTTTTCAAATATTGTAAATAATGAATGATTTTTTCAAATATAGTAAACAATATAGGCTATACATTACCAGGCAATAGAACCCAATATTATTGATGTTTTTGGAAAGTGTTTTGGGTTTGATTTGAAAGCTAGATCTAACAACACTAGGTTAGTTACCAAGCAAAGACAAAGAAGATAACAGCCCTTGCTATAATTCTTGGCAAAAAATACAATAGAAAAACGCCTTCAAGTTGTTACAGTGTCATCCACAATAAAAATAGTTTATGCCTATAATATCATCTACAGTATAATGTATCTTTATCAATTCGCATGCATTTTAAAAGAGTTTGGCAAAGAATAAACCAAAACCATACAATCCATAATAAAATCACTCATAATCTATGGTAGAATATTGAACCATTTTAGTTATAGTTAATAATAATTTCTATGCATTTATCCTACAAGGGGATTACAATTTGTTTGAATTAAAATAAATATTTGGAGAATTTGTTTAGTATTATCAAATCTATAATCCACTCATTTTGAATTTTTTTTATTAAGATAAATTTTCATTGCAAATAAAAACTAATATCTAATATGTGTATAATAAAATAAATTACAAATTGTATATGTTTATAAATAATAACTAAGATGATGACTAAATCAAATATTGAATTGAAAGATATAAAATATGTATTATAATAATTAATCTTCTGTGATTTTAAAAATATATAAAATCATGTTTAAAATCTATTTAAAAAATGATTTGAATTAGATTTTTATAAACAAAAAAAAAATCATTATCATCATCATCATCATCATAAAAATTAAAGAATATTTGTTAAAATAAAAATAAGATTTTATAATTTTATTTAATAAGATGTAAAGAGTAAGTGAAATAGAAAAGTAGTTTTTTTAGTGCCAGAAAAAATAAGGAAAACAAAATACATAAAAGGTTCAAGAGTCATTCTTCATTATTAAATTAGATAGAATATTTTAATATTGAACTTTACAATAATAGTGAAAAAATAAAAATAAAAAACTCTAAAAAAAATAAAAAATTGCAAAGTTTTAAATTAGACATATATTATCTATCTTGGTATCTTATATTTCAGTTATGTATTTTATAATTGTATAGACCTATTATAATTATAATTTCAAGGTTAATTTCATCTAATTAAATTAGAATAAACGAAATAGAATACAAATAAATTTAAAAGGGAGGAAAGAGAAAACTTAGGAATTTCACTGTTCATGACATGAACATCACTCCTCAATCATTAAACTTCATTTTAAAAGTATGATTTTTTAGATGTTTTATTTTTTTTTATTTGTATTCAGGCCTTGTTTGGATTACAAAACCAAACATGTTCTAAATACAATAAAATTATATAATTATTAAAAGAGTCTTTGGAAATGTGGTTCAAACTATATTTTTAAAAATTTTAAATTTTTTATAATATTTTTTTATATTTTTAAATTATTTTGATGTGTTAATGTTAAAAATAATTTTTTATATATAAAAAAATTTATTTTGATATATTTATAAACAAAAAAATATTTTGAATCGCCACCACCATTGCAATCTCAAACAGGTTCTAATTTTGATTCAAGTTGATCCGAGTCATGATTTTAATATGCTAATTTAGGCTAGTAAAATTTTTTTTCAAAAAATAAAAATACAAAAATAAGATTTTTTTGGGAGAAAAAATCAAAATAAAAATCTAAATGGAGTTGACTATCATGTTAATTAGATTAAATCAAGTTAATTTGAAATTGAATTTTATAACACCAGACCAGAGGTAGGGGTGAGTCGACCTCTAGGGTTTAATGCTAGTGCAAGATAGAACTTGAAAAATGGTTTTCTGTAAACGAATTGAACCTAGACTATGATTGCATTCATCTGTTTCTTTTTTCTTTCTTTTCTCTTTACGGTAGATTGCATTCCTCTGTGTACATGCAAGGCCTGTTCATGTACAGTTTTAAGCTTAAAGTCTGTCTTCGTAAAAACGTGCTTATTGTTATATGTTAAATGGAGGCGGCTCAAAATTCCAACGCCGTTGATGAGTAGTTACGGGCCTAGACAAATCTTTTCCTGTATAATCTGCAAATGTCAGAGCCTTAGATCTCTCATTGCTGAGAAAATTCTCCTTCATACTTGTCGTTGCCCCGAGGGCCGAATCCATCTTCAGTTCACTTGCATTTGATGCGGTATTTCAGAAAGCGACTCGACTTGATAGCTAAAAGCCTAACAAGAGTGCTTGGAAGCCATGGCAGTGTGAATGATTTCCAATTACTCAGACAAATTATTGATGCATGGATCTCTGTGGCTCCACTAGAGAAGACAACGAGTTCCATTGATACGGTTGCTATATCTAGTTGGACTATTTTGCATCCATTCGTAGAGCAAACAAGGCATGTTTCATATATATATATATATATATATGCATTACAAAGATCATGGAAATTAACAGGGTTACAGCTCTATGCCATTATTGGTTGATAGCCTTCTTCTCTCCCCTTCTTCAGTCGATAACGCAGGCCAACAGCAACCACTGCCAGTCCTAACAGAGCTACTATTGCTAAAGCGGATGCGGATACTTTCATCTTTTCATGTATCTGCAAGAACCAAAAAATATTCAAATTTCATAAAATACTAACGGTAACCTTTAAAAATCGAACTAGAACTTACATGAATCGGAGAATGCAAGAAATTCGTGGGATTTGGTGTTCGTTCAGCAACCAAAATGTAGAAAATCCCCATAACCCCCGTGTGCTTTTGAGTACTACTGTAGTAAGATTCAAGAACTAGATTCTCCCCAGCTGTTATCTGGATAGAGCCTGGTTCAGGATAACAGGTGGACATCCCTACTACGTAACCTGCCTCATCTCCTGCATCCTTTCCTTCTCCATAAATTGGTTCTGAAGTGCATATAACACGTCCTTCCTAAAGTGAGCACACAAGCTTATGATTAGAATCAGATTTCGTGTTATTCACCATTCCTCTTAAAAGGGATCGCATGAACATCCTACAGCATAATTAATGATGAAAGGTGAAAGGTGATAAATGTTGGTAGACAGGAAGCAGTCCAAGTAAGCTCGAGTGAAGAAAATGGCCCTCGACAACAATCTCAGGCTGTCATATATTTATGGTTCTATGCTTCTTAAAGAATCTGATCTGAGACCGAGATTGAAGATTGAATATTACCTCCCCAAACAGAGTTGAACCAATTCCCCCAGTATGCTGATGGGCAACACCGTAGATGACATGACCACTGATCGGCATGGTCAGGCTTGTCCTTTGGACATCGATACATCCATCTGAAACTGCATTGGCGCTGCTGCAAGGCTCAACATCGTACTCAACCTGCAGAAATTAGTGATTTGACTAAGTAACAAAAAAATTTGACACTGTTGGAGATTAGTTTGAAGATGTTAATAAATTTGTAATTACTAGCATCAATCACAAACTTCAGTGCAATTCACTTGGCAATTAAAGCTGTCTCGAGGGTTCAAAAATGATTTTATATTAATTCTCTAAGAGTGAATACTGATTCAAGCACGCGATTGGAGGAGTTTATTAATCATCATAAAACATGAATGCTTAATTTAATTCTCATGTAATATCAGAATAGCATCCGAGTAAAGTGAATTTACCTGGCAACCATAGTGCTGTAATATCAGAACAACCACTGTTTGTTCCAAACATTTAATCGCAGAACATCCCTTTGATCTGAACTGCAACCAGCTGCGCTACCATAAAAGTTGGAGAATCTCTTCATAAATGGGATCCAAATTCTAAAATTTAAACACTGAAGCAATCACCTGAGCATCTTTAATGTTTATAATAATAATAATGGAAACCTACTACAGTGATCAGTAGAAGATACCACCTGCACCCCTTCCCTGTCACATTACTCTAGCTACACACATCCCCTCTCTCTACTCTTTTATTTGTCAAGGTTGCTTTCATTTGTCAACTCCTTTTCTCTCTCATAGACTTGTCAATGCTGCTAAAAAGCTACGGTTTTTTTTTGAAGAAAGATACAGGAGCTTTTCTGAAAAAAAAAAGGGTGTTTTCTTCTTCTGTTTTCACTGCTCCATCTAAAATGAGAACTTTTTTTTTCTTACAAATGATCTGTTGTGACACCACAGTCACAACAGAGGACATACATTCTTTTCCAACACACACTATCTAACTTTTATAATTTGTGTTTTCAGATAAGTATAAATCAAAAGTGTAAAAACTCAACATTCAGCTACTCTTATAATCCAAAGGACATGAAGGGAAAGCTCACAGACACTAGTACCCAAATCATTGTTGACCCAATACTTATTCAGAAATTAACTCAC